TATGTTCCATTGACTTTAGTTGGGTATGGAACACTCTGTTACAAAGGTAAGGATAACACAGCTGTCCAAGTAGCCAATTCTTTTGTCCGGGTATCGGCAGCTATCTGGATTATTAAAACATTTTTGTTTGTTTGTTCCTAATGTGTTGACAAATTCTGAGAAATCAAGATTCCACATTTTAACATTAATAGATACTCCTCCTTTGGATTTTGCATATAAAATGTCAACTCTATTAAACAACGGATCATTCCCAGTATCCAGACTACTGTCTGGAGAGTAGTGTTGCCCCCAAGATCAGGACTGGCATCCTTGGGCATCTGCAAAGGCCCCAGCTTGATCAGGAGCCTCCTGCTGACCTCCTGCTGAATTAAAGAGTCCTCTGCTACTGCTGTTTTATGTTGCCCCTCCAAGCAAATCACCAGTGAAGGAACAGCAGCCTGAGTTCACATTACTCTCTTCCTCTGGGCACTAGCATGAATTGCATCTAGAGGAATGAGGCAAGTGAAAGGGCAGCAGTGAAAAGGCAGAGGTAGCGCTATTTAGGGAGGAAACATCCCCAAGGTGACATTGTCCAGAGCAGAAGAAACTACGCATTTCTCTTCTAGGCCAATAACACCTTGATTGTTGCAGGAAGATAGATATATAAGCAATAATACAATTTCACATTGAAATATTCATTTAAATTATGATGTTGCTTTTTATACAAAATTCTCAAAACTTTTTTAACACAAAGTCCTCCAGTTGGTTTATATGGGTAGCCATTTTTACAAAGTGATATTTAGAGAAAGTATGGTCCATTTAAGAGTGTTTCAAATGAGGAAATTTATGAGGTGGGGGGAAGAAATGACTAATGAGCAGGTATTCTACTGAAGTACTATAAGCAATAATTCATATGAAGTTTACCTGAAAAAACAAAAGGCTTCAATCTAATATGAAGTCATAATATGGATGTATGCAGGAACACAATCCACAATCTGAGTTTTGTCCGTGGTGACCTAGCCCTATCCAGGGGATCATATCCTACATGCGATTACAATTGCATGAAAGAGAATGGAGATGATCACACTGGCTTCCTTCCCTCATCCTGTTCTTGTTGCCAGCCCATCAACTTTCATATGTTTAAAGGCAAATGTACCTGCAGCCTGCTCTACTCATATAAGTTCTGAATTTTACAGAATGCCCACCACAACCTGTTGAAGGCTGCAGTACCATTGATGGGGCGGTGTTTGTGTGTGTAGAATTACTGTGCTGTTCCTCACATGATTCTAATTGTATGGGGGATCTGAATTCCAGAAATGAAGAGGCATGACTCTTTGGCAGCAGATTGTGGCAAAAACCTCAGATGAAAAGATTCCTCGGGCATCTGCATATTGATTGATTAGATTATAGACTTCTTGGAAATGTATTAAAACAATGGCCATGTTTCCAGTTCCAGTTTTGCAACAGGCTTCTGGGCCATGCAACACTATTGATGACTAATCAGGCTCCGAGAAATAGACTTAGTAGGAAAGAAAACTGTTTCCCTATTTCTTTCCATTTGTGAATCAAGGAGCAACGTAAGACATTAAAAAATGTATGCATGCGTAGGGCTGGGGAGGGGGAGTGATGGTGTAAATACTGTTGATTATGAGCTTGATACTGCAGAGGGGCCTTCCAGGAAGTGGGCTTCTGTACTAAAATTCAAAAGGCATTGTGCAGCTATTCTGTCTTCTCTTTAACTTGTGTTTTGAGGGAAGGGTAAAAAGCACGAAGACAGAAGTTGCAGTGGAAAACACAGGAGAATTGCATGTTGAAGAGAATGTGCTTGGACACTTCCTCCACCCCACAAAAATATCTCATGAATGTAAGCAGTGTGGTTGTAATACAGTTGCCTTGTCTGAAAGTACTCTGAGTTTATAACTCCAATGAAAATTAACTGGATAATTGGTTCTCCGTAAAATGACTTTAAGAGCTGGTTTGCATGTTAACAGGTCAAAAACATGCTCTCAATAATGAGAAAACAATGGCTACAGGCAAATTTATTTTGCAGATATACTGTTCCACTGTTTTCCAACCACACATGCTTCTCCTATGAAATACATGGGTTTTTACAAGTATTAAAATGATTCATAATGCCAACAACAGTGTCACATTTCATAATGCATTTATTTGCAAATATACATTTCAAATTAATGTATTTCCATTTAAACGAATTTGTGATGACTACAGCAGTGATACAGATGGTCGCAGATGAAAGCCTGCACCACGGATGTGACCTGGAACTTTGGATTACTTTTTGTATCAGTTCTAGTCATCTATTGATGCTGGTGTTTTAAATGTTTTCAGAGAACATTCCACACTTTCAGTAATGAATACCAAACCCACATCTGTGTTTAATTAGTACTTTTGCACCATTTGTTTTGTGATAAATTAAATAAGCTGACCACAGAGTAACTTTTTATCAAACAGCAAATTATTGTCCTTTAAATATTCATAATTTAAAATATAGGAGGAAGCCATAAGCATGACTTTAATTATTCAGTTGAAATTATTAGTAAACGATTTAGTGCAGATGTTGTTCTGATCCTATGCATCACCCCTACTCAGAAGTATGTACCCCTGTTTTCAATGGCTTACACCCTGGTGCAAAGAATTAGGCATTCAACAGGAGGAGACCTTCAATTTATTATATTAATTAAGACTTTTTAATATTTTTCACCATTAGTTGTAAGTTTACATTGGGAGTCTGGCTTGCTGACATGGTTGAATGTATTTTTTGTATGTTCTTCTTCCTCTGTGTTGATCCTAAAAAATGAGTAATGTGTGCCACACTTATTAATTAATTAATTAATTAGCAAGCTTCTATGCCACCCCATTCGCTGAACTTAGACAAATTGAAACAGTTCAGAGGAGGAAAACTGAAGACCAAGGACATTAATGCCCCTCAAACACGCACAGGGCTGTCCTATTTGTTTTCTGCTGCCTAAAAAAAGCAGGATTTAATGCAATTGGCTTAAGTTAAAGAAAGATCTTGGTTGAACCTTAACTGAAGCTTAATAGTGCTAAGACCTGTTAGCCAATAGTACCAATTACCCAACAGTCTCCAATTGGAAGCTAGCCATCTGCTGGAATATTCTAACTGAATATTCTAGAAACTGGTGGCAATGGCCTTACTTATATAGAACAACTTTATACATGCAAAAACTTACGCTGGAACATCTATGCATGTGAACAGTGGTTCCAGTAGGAAAATTTTCTTACGTGTATCATCACGTTTCCTATCTCTCCTTGTTTCACTACATTCATTTAGCACTACCCTGTTCATCCTTAGTTATACCCCTTCTTTAAATAACAGATATGAATATAAAGTATGTATAATATAAAAAATGGGATATAAAGTATCTCTGAGCATGTAGAAAGTGCTTTTCCATCAGCATTTGACTAACCTGCAACCTGATGTGCATCTTCTTAATATTTTACTAAGATTAATTTTCATAATCTCATTCACATGGTAAGATATTAAGTTAGGAGCCAGAGCTAGGAATGCAACTGTGGTGGCAAGCCCTGTAAGCCATGTGATGGCTGCAGGGCGTTTACATGTACATGTCCTCCTGCACAACTGGGAATCCTGGAAGGGCAGGAACAACCATACATGCATACAGTTTTATGTGCATAGAGTTCTCAAGCTACCTGGTGTAAAACCAGTTTCTTATGCAGATGTTCACAAGCTACCCGAATGTAGTGTTATGAGCTTTACTATGCCTATCTTCAGTCAGAAACAGTTCTGACAACTGTCTATGTAAGTGGCATTTTCCAAATTCTAATCATTTCAGTATCTCAGAAGCGAGGCACTTGACTGTTAAAGATGCTCATTTGTGGGGCAAAAGAATGCTAGACTCTTCAGAAACAAATTCTTCCACATGCAGATTTCCATACATTTGGCTTTATTTATTTATTTATTTATTTATTTATTTATTTATTTAACGTAAAACTTTTCTATACTGTCCACTACCGAGGTCTTGGGACACTATGAACAGATTGCTTAATGTGAAAGGTACTTTCTCAAATATTGAAGAAAATGTAATTTTATCACTCATTCCCTTAACACAGAGATTCTAGTGGATCAATGTTGATACAGTTCAGATTCAGGTTAGGTATCAGATATAGACTTGGGCGATTTAAAATCCTGACTTCTGCAGAAATCCGAACCGAGCTCCTTTTTTACTTTTGTCTACGATTGGAAAAACAGTAACTTGACAGATGTATCTAGATACAAAAAAAGTTTAAGTAAACAAAGCTCTAAAAGAAGCTGTAATAATGGACCATATTAGTACTTTGATTACCTTTAGGGGTGGGGTGATACTTCAGTGATTCTTTTTCCACAACCAGGAAAACCCAATATTTTAACTTTTCCAAGCAAAATCAAACCAGGAATTTCTAGAGTTCTTCAAGCAGCTGATTTACATTTTTCAAGCATGCTTTTCTTGATCAGTAATGAAAAATTGTGTCCAGCTCCGTCCATCTGGCAGAAAACAGCATTTGCCTTCCACTGCACCTCACAAATCTGCTCCAAATGATGCTGAGGGTTCCTCCGGAGTACCTTTCAGGTGGTACAAGGGGTGGAAGAGAAATGCTATTGTTTTCATGGAAGTCTATTTGCTTTTTAATGTACCTGAAGCATTGAAATTTATCTGAAAACAATCACACATACACCATCACTAGTTTTTCAAGGGAAATGTTTTAGTTAATAAAAACAAAGCAAACCTGAGCAGATGTACATCAGAGAGTCAGCACTGACAACAGGTGCTGATAATGCCTATCTACACTAGTTAATTTCATTATAAATCAGTGCTGTCTGTAAATATGTTAGGTATTGTCCTTTTAGACTGAAGAAGAATTTAAGCCCAGGTTTTATTATAGTGCATGTTGTAAGAATCCTGTTAAACTATTAGGATAACGCAGTTTTGCCTTATAAATTCCTAATATATATAGATAAAGAGTAAAGAAGGCACTCAACTATAAGTTGAAAACTCATTATGAAAAATGAGCAGATTTATTCTACTATTTAACAATACTGAGCATTTGAGAATATAGAAAGTTTCCACAGAAAGAAGGCCTGATCAAGAACACAAAAGCCATTGCTGGGCATGTATTTTTATTAAGACCTGCAGAATATATTCCAACCTCTGATTCCTGCTAGATTTATAATTGCAAATAGTTTAGAAATACACTTTCCAAAGAAACAAGAATAGCTGTTAAGTTTTGTTGGGAGTCATGGCTTGATGACAGAGCTTAATATTTTTATAGCTCCATAGACTTTCACTAGCATTTTCAATGACAGTCCTGTTCCTATGAGCTACTGACACAGAAGGTCACAGAACAAGGTTCAAAGGCCATAGCAGCATGAGGAGGAGTTATCTCCAAAACTGGCGGAGCAGCAGTAACTGCCAGCTCTGGGCTTACGCTTGCCCTTTCACATCTGTACTTGTGCCTCTGTGCAGCATCCTACACTGTGAGTAGGAACCTGCCTGAACAGTCTGTGAGACAGAATTGGGGGAAAGTCTTTCCCTTCAAGAGGAAAAGTTGGGAATTTCACAGGGAACATCCAAATTCCTGGACCCACTAACATAACTCTTGGGAGGCCAGGCTAGATGTTCCATTAGACACAGATGGAGGCTGCTTGAAGGCAGGACAGAACCAGATAGCTTATCCCCATCAGCAACACACTGGGTCTCCCTCTAGCTAAGTTTGATATTTTAATTAACACTGTATCTGAATCTAGTATGAAGGTTCAAACTACTCCCGGATTTAGGATTTCAGTTGAAAACAATCTGCACCTTGTTTCAATATTTTGTCATCAGTTGCCCAACTCAGAGTTGTCATCCAAAGCAACAAAGCAACTCATCATTATTTAGTGATAAAGCACTGCCACAGAAACTATTTTACATATGAATGCTTAAGCAAAAGGAAAAGTACATTCAATACTTTATGGGATTGTTATAGAAGGCCTGAACCATTTGATCATAACACAGTATTTCAGCAAACAAAACAGAATCTCATACACACACATCAGACATCTAAATACTAGGCATTTCAAACACTTCGCCAGTGCATTTCTGCAAACAAGTTCTTTAAACAGAACTTTAACATTTTTATACTTTAAATTTTAAAAAAAAATACACTGTTCTAAAATCACCCATCAATGCTTATGCAAACTTTCTGTATTTCTACAAAAATAGATGCACAAAAAAGCTACAAAAACTGTATTCCTGAAAGACAACTACTAATCAAGGTTATGTCTCTCCTGATGATCAGGGCTGTGCATTAGTACAGACAATGACTCACAGCCAAGCAAAATACTGTTAAAAGGAGTAAAAAGAAGTTACATTGCCAAAATGCTCAATGACAAATGGTACACAATAGAAAGCTATTGGCTTCTTTTTTCTTTTCAGTGTCCCGGGTTTTAGAAATAACCTTCTGGAGGTAAAGGCTCAATCCACAAAATCATAGCTGGTTGGCTCATCATGTTTTGCTGTATGTCCTGTGAAGTAATAGTAGAAATGGAGTGGGGGGAGGGGGGATTGCAGTATCCCATCACAAGGGTGGGAACTCAATGCTGGTTACCGATTAGTTCCATTTGCACTTCAAAACCATGATGTCTCCTTACTTTTCTCCTGATGCTGGATCCCTAATTTGAAATGATGAGAGAGAGGGTTTAAATTGTCATATTTACCATATTTCTAGCAAACAAGAAAACAAGTTGATTTAAATCTGTCTCTTGGATTGCAGCAAGTAGCTCCCAGATCTTTCACACCCCTGCTATACAAGTTTACCTATCAAGAACATATATCTGCATTTTGATTATTGGTGTAGTTTCAGAAACCTGCAAAGCTCGTTTGACCAGAAATGATAGTAGAACAACTAAAATGCAAGCACCTCATCATAAATTTATTTTCAATCTACTTTCAACCCTAGACCCAACATGCTTTTAAAAATTACAGCTATAGCAAACATAATTAAAAAGCTCAGGTAATACCAAATTATTTGATAAAATTAGATAAATATTTATTAAACACAATAAAACAATAATTTTAATGGGAAAAATTAATGATGGGTTCCTGTGCCATTTACCAAATAATAGCTGCATCTAGTGAAAATAACAATCATTAAAATTACAGGGAAAAAACTATATGATTCCATTTTAAATTAAACAATGTCTCTCTGAAGTTGAAAATTGTGCTGAATTTCCAGCACTTAAAGGTGAAAAAACAATGTACTGAAGTTGTTTTATATATCTGCTTTGATGAAATTGATTAATATAAGTCTGTTTTTATAATTTTTTAACATAAACTGCAGTGTTAAAGTATTTAAGATTCTTATCTGGTCCAGTGCATTTTTAGTTCTTGGTTTGTGCTTTGTTCAAATTATACTCTTTTAATTTGTAGAATTTATTGAGGAGTTTTAAAATGTATAACAAAGATATAACTCGTGTTCATTTTCAACCTGTATTAGAATGTTGTGGATATTGTATGATGCATACTCAAAAAAATAATGAGTAATTCCTGCCTTTTGGTACCTGCTTGTTCCCAAAATATTTCAGAGCTTATTTAAATTAGAGCTATGAGCAAATGGCTTCATGAGGTTTTCCACCCTGTACACAGGCAGATAAACCATTTCACCAAATTACTTCAGGGGCAGAGAAATTCTGCTTTGTCAAAGACAGGGCTCCTACAAGCCATTGCCAGGCCTTGTAGCTCTTTTCTTTTCTTGTAAGGATTTTGGGGTTCTGAGATTCAAGTATCACAGTGCTGGATTATGTGCAGCAGAGGTCAGTGTTGTGTCAAGTTCCAGGGAAGAGGTAGAAAGTAGCCAAAATCTGTCATCCAATATCCTGAAAGGTGTTTCCGCCATGAAAGAGGCTTCCATTTTTCTGCCACATTCTTAGGGTGTTTTGTAATTTATTTTTGTGGTGCTTTTGAATTTATTGTATGACTGCTAGCCTCCCAGGCTGTCTTCATTTCCTGACCTGTAAAGACCCTGTGGGAGGAGTTATGATGCCTTTCCCTAGACTGTAATTCTTGCATAGGAATTGAGGAGGCTTCCAGGGAGTAGGGGTAGAAAGATGATTGTACAATGAAAAATTGGAAACCTAAAGCCCAAGCAACCCGACGTCAGCCAGAACTTCTCCAGAATTTCTTTACCACTGATTTTTTAAAGCAAATTCTTTTCAATCACACTGAAAGAAAATGGTTGAAAAACTGGCTAAATTTTTGGGTACAATACTAATTTAAATACAAACCCCTTCTACATAGCAGGAAGGGAAATCTCTCCCCTAAGCACTGCAACAACGTGCCAAGGGTAGCCAAAACATCTCAAAAGTCTCTATCCAGCCTCCCAATTTCATGAAACATCTAACATGTCAATTTGTTGTCACTAGGGACGTACAAGACTGGCGTAAAGACACAGCATTGTTACCCATCCAGACATTAACTTCATTGTCTGGAACTCTTCTCCAGGTGACTCTATAAAAGAAAGTGAGACAGGTGGCTACAGGAGAGAGGAGCTTCTCAATGGTGGCGCCCCATTTGCTGATGTTTCCTCAAAGTGGCTTACCTGGAGCCTACCTTATGATCTTTCCAGTAACAGGTGGCAACATTTTTATTATCCTTTCATTAGGCATTTTGGGAGTAGTTTTCAATGCATTTAAGTATTCTGTTCTGTTGCTGGCTTTAATTTGGTTTTATAATGTACTGGTTTTGTTTGCTCCTGTTTTTTAATGAATGTACAGCATGTTTTTAATGTCCTGTACATGAACCAGAGCACTTTGGTTATTGGGTGATTTTAAAGTACAAAAAATATATAAAAGAAATTAGAGCAATGTTCACAGTAACTCTAAAACCTGCCTGCAGAGAATTATCATGGATAAATGCTAGCTGGTGGGCTCTGTGTGAACTGTATTTTTATTTAATTTTGAAGTTAACACAAGAGGAATTTCACATTTTCAGAAGCAGAATGTATTCTGATTTGATCAGGGGTCACCAAACATTTTGGGTTAATGGGCACAATGGGAGGTTTGGGATAATATTGTACACACTATTACAAAATGGCTGCTGCGATTAATACAGCCAGTCACAAAGTGCACATTTCCCAAAAAAAAGGCAATAGAAGTTGAGCTCCAAAACAGAAACCTACTCTTTTGGCTATTTTAAACTCAAATAAAGATGGCCCCAGCAGGCAAAACTTTAACAATGTAAGAAATAAAATAAAAAGCAGGAAGGGCAGGTAGCCTCACAGACACCGGGGAAGAATTTTGTCAGTTCGTCATCCATTCACAGCCCCTTTATGCTCTCAAAATCTGCTCTAGTGGGCTAGGGAGCCTCAGGGGCTGGTTGTTGAGTGGCACAGAGGGCCGCAGGGAGAAGAGAGATGGAGAAAGTCCTGTCATGCTATCTCACTCCCACTAGTGCAGCCCTGAACTCGTGTCTCTGATGGTGCATCAGCTACCTATACCTCTTCCTTGCTTTCTCCCTTCACCTCTGTCACAGCCTAAACTCTAATTTCCCTTTCTTGGAATGTATTCCTCTTTCTGCTTCTCAAATATTACCCTTTTTGACCAGTGCTGATGTTGACAAGCATGACCATATGCTGCAAAGGACAATGCACAGGATTGTGCATCCTCACTGATGCAAACAGGGAGGGACACAACCCAGTTACATGTGCATGTTAACTTGTATATAATCTCACTCACAGTGTTCTTCCACCTGCCATTATATATGTATGCGTATACGTCCTACAGGTCTCACACACATAGACATACACACACAGCACCATGTGCGGGACATAACAGTAAATGTCAACTGGGACTATAAATGCTTATAGGATTGTACAGGTACTTTCAGTTTTACCAGCACAAGCACTACATATTGCTGTGCTATGTAGACAGGACAGAATTTATCTCACTGATAAATTGAGGTTGCGCTGTTTTATCAGCATAAGTCAGTATCTCATTTAATCTTGGTAGTTATGCTCACAGTGAATTTTGTTAGGTTGAAAGCTCAGGACTAGAAACTAGATGTTTTTCAGTGTTTACTTCATAACATATTATTCTAATAAATATTATTTATTGTAAGGATATGTTTCAAGCAACTCCAGTCTTAATTTGTTTCAGAAGACCACCCAGGGGATTAAGTCCAACTGTGAATCACAGAATATGGTCGCTTTTTCACTGCAAAATCCACAACTGTTTTTAGAATTTTAAAATGCTTTTATGGCCCATGAACTGCATTTATAGTCCTCTGTGAGTGAAAAACAACTTGCTGTGGTACCTGTCATTTAGGTCTGGGAAGCAAATTCTAGTGTGGAATGTCTTAGGCATGCACAGCTCCTTCTTTCTTTGCCATGCTTCCCCATATGCTTATATTACTCATGGAAAGTAGACTCAGCATGCTGTAAACATGACTAGAGAAGCAGCAAGGCTACATACTGAATGAAAAAATGCATTGGTTCTGAAACAGGTGTGCCAGTGAGTTTTCCCTTCAAGAGATTTTGAATGGTTGTAGTCTGCCAGCCCCAATTATATTACACTTGTGAGAGCAGCTACGAGTATTGGCCTAGTGAGAAGGCACTGCCTGATAAAACAACCCAAGGAAGTAACTGTTCTGGCAATGCTAGTTTGAGCAAGGTTCCAGAGTTGTGGGTCAAATCCCCACTCAACCATGAGACTCACTAATCTACCAAGTCTGCTTTTTATTTTTTTATTGTTTTAATTGCTGAGAAATAAAAGGCAAATAGCCAGTTATTTGTCTAGTTGGCCCTTAAGTACTGAGTTAATAAATCATCATCTGAAATATAATCCTATTTGCCATGGACAGGCTCAGGTCCATGTTGACCATAGAGACCATGGTTCATTAGGTGATTTCTGAGCTCATAGTAGTGCATACAGCACTTGAATTCTTGTGAATTTGTTACTCAGTGCTTTCACTCATTAGGAAAAAGGGAAGAACTTGCACCATTTATTAAGCAATTCGGTGAATGATTTACCTATCTGGGAAAATACATCTTCCAGATTTAGAGAAATGCTGCTCACATGTGTACACTGTTAAGAGGCTAAATCCAACTTTGATGTTTTACATTCAACTCCCATCAATGGGTTGGAAGCCCCAGGTGCAGCTTCATCTGGGATGCTTGCTATCAACAACCCTGATAGCACTTAGTGTATAGTAAGAGGATATTTCCTCCACCGCAGATAGGTTATCACTTAGTCAATAGTACCAACACAAACCATCTTAACTGGTAAAAATGCACACATGCACACCTAGATGAACTTGGTAATTGTTTTATTCTTAAATAATGTAATCGAACAAAAGAAAAAGAAAAACACACTAAGAGCCATGGTCAATCATTTAAAGGATCTCTAAGTCCATCATTCTGTCCACATAGCTTGTCCACAGGAAATTCACAAACAGGATAGGAATGCAATGTGAGTCACCTCATCATACTAGTTGTTCTTTGCTGCATTTTTTCCAACAGTACAATATCCTTTTTTAGGTATGGTGACCAGAACTGTATACAGTATTCTAAGTGAGGTCACATCATAGATTTGTAACAAGGGAGCATCACCTGGGCAGTTTTATTTTCAATTCCTTTCCTAATTATACCTTAGAAAGAGTTTACCTTTTTCACATCAACAATTTCATCAAGCTATCCAACACAACCCCAATATCTCTTTCTTGGTCTGTCAGTGCTAGTTCAGATCCAGTCAACTTATCTCATCACAAATTGGGATTTTGTATACTTTATCCTAATGTGCATCAGTTCTTCAGACTCCCTTCCTAAAAGCATCAATTCAGACACATTCAGTCCTATGTCTTCCATAGGGATATCAGATGAAAACAATTCATTCAACTTTTCTCCAATATCTTTATCCTCCTTTAGTAGTTTAACTCTATTGTCACATGACAGTCAAACTGCTAGCTAGTTTCCTGCTTCTAATATATTTTATAGATGATATAGAGATGGCGATGATAGAGACAGAGATAGAGATGGCAGGCAGGCAGGCAGGCTGGCTGACAGAGATAGCCTTGATGCTGTTAACAATATGCTCCTCAGTATGCCTTTTTTCATTTCTTATTGTCTACTTGTACATTCTCTATGCAAGCTTCTTTTTCTCTTTTCTCTTCTTTTCTTCATACCAGCAAGACTTCCATTTTTTGAAGGAAGCCTTCCTTACACCAATAGTTTCCTTAACTTGCTTGTTCACTATGCTAATGACCTCTTGGATTTGGTGCTACGTTTCCTAACCTGTGGTACAGTTTTCATCTCTATATACTGAGAACAGTGATGAGATTCCAGCTACCATTCACACACCCTACTACAAAAAAACTGAATTAGATTAACATTTCTTAACTAGCACCAGTTAACTGGGAACAAATTACAGCTTTTCTGGATCTTTGACCTTCTTCTTTAAAATAAATATTCTTGAGACAAGATTCTTTCTGCAATCTTAGACTAACCATGTGATTGTCTAGACAACTGGAAATACTGGAATTGCTATCAGATCTGATGTACCTTTCCATTTATCTACCAGTGATGGAAGTTTCAAAGCTGAAATCTCACAATAAATATGCCTTGCCAAAATACAGACCCCATGACGAGAAAAACAACTGTTCCTAGTCCAAGCAGACAAATCATTTTACAATCCAGAACATGAAATGTAATTACTCTTTTATCATCAGTACAGCTGCAAACATTATTAATGGCCATAAAATTGTCCAAACCTTTTAAGGATCCAGTTCTGCTATTTTTCTTAATTTCCTGAGGCAGAAAGTAGCACTGTTTGTCACTGCATGAAGGAGAATGTGAGAATAAAGCCTGCTGAGGTGCAGCAGCTAGTTTAGAAAAGTGAGACAGAGGGAGACAGAAAGAGTCAGAAAAAGCAAATTTACAAAAGGAATCCCTGGAGGATTTAGCCTTTGACTATCTATCTATATCTTGTTATAAAGAATCAATTTTGTGTTACTTTAGAATTTGTATTTCCCCCATGATGAGGTTTTCATTTAAATAGTGAACTTCTCTGCTGTATTTCCTAACTCTCAAATACAGTAACAATAATTGAAAAGTATGGAAAATTGCCTTATGTTATTTTAATGGTTGAATTGCATAAAAAACTTCTGATCTATATCAGCTGTCTGCACTGCTCCTTAGGTGAACACCTCTGTCTAAAGCAGGAGTCAAAGAAATATATCAGTTCAGAGGCAAAACAACTCCAACAACTTTACAACATATACTCAGTGACAACACTCATTCATGCTATCTGAATCTATCAAATTTGTGAAGAATTTTGCCATTTGTATGGAAAAGAACTTCTAGTTTCCCCATCCTTCATAGTGAAGAAAGCAGTCACACAACTTTCTCCAATTCGAAACTTTCTATTAACAGCAGAAGTTAAACAATATTGTGATTGTGTAAGTTATGTAAACTACTCGATAGCCTTCTATCCCCTATCCTGATCAAGCTGATATAATATCTTTGTAACTGAGCTAAGGAGGAGAAAAATAAGGCCGTTCACTGAGAATTATCAAAATAGGCTAGAGTTAAAGCACAAGGGTCCCCTGTCATTGGATCCCTGGTGTCCTATACAACAGGACAGGTGCAGTATTTACCCAATTTGTTGTTAAATCTGGGAAGGCTGTTTCACACTTTGACAGTTGAGTTCTATCAGTGTCCTGCATACTACATAGGTAAAAGGCAGGTACAAGTCTCAAAATATTCTTGGAGATGTTCCAGGGAACTACAGGTGACTGTACTCCCATGATATATCGTTAAGGAAGCATGGTTCTCCTTAATGTTATTGTCAAAGCAAACCATGGAACATGTTCACTTGCTCGTCACATGGCATGGCTATATGATAGCTGTATCACATACATGGGATGTTCAGATTAAAAAACAGTGAATAACACCTTCAACAGATCTAGGCTTTGACTGTGTCCTATTTGTGGCATCACAGAAGCATCCAGCTGACCACTGTGGAAAACAAAATTTTGGACATCTGATGGCTTTCCTTGTGCAAAGTATGACACAGATCTGAGATTCTGTTTGATGTAATGGAAGTTTTTAGGATCATCCTCTAGCAATACAACCTCTGGAATATCACTAGTGAGTGTCTACACATGGCTGAAGTGTATCTTAAGCTGAGGTTAGCATCCAGTATAGTGGTCATCTCTTGGACAATCAGATCTGGTGAGGGATAGTAACTCACAGCACTGCACAAGAATACGTAGATTCATGTTGATGCTTTAAGATGATACTTCAAGGGACTGAAACCAAACTAGGCCTTGGATTGGAATCAAATTTCCGAAATGTTAGCTTTCTTTCAGCAAGTGGAGAATTCACACATTAACAGTTCAGGATTTTCTATACTTTCTGGTAATATGAAACCTGTCACGGAATGGGGCATCCAAAGCAAAGCTCAAACTAGGTAGCAATAGACAAACCTATCAAGCTCAGTTTTGCTCAGGTTCTCCTTTTACCAGGGTGAAGACCCATTTGTTCCAATTTTGCATTGGATTGCATTTTTTTAAGTCTGCATGAACAAGTATAAACATTTCTAGATTGGCACATCTGAATACTTTTTTTCAGATGGATGCATTTCTGTGTGCACATTCAGAACATCCTAACAAACCAGCTTCATTACAGATGTTTACAAAAATGAACAAGAATCCTAAATTCCTGATTTCAAAGAATTGTATTTCCAAGTATCCTATAAGAAAAGCACTATCTACTTTCTCTTTACATTCAGTCACTACAGTAAGTTTATCATTAAATGTGCACTATAAAATCTACAGTGTGGAAGCAAAGATTGCTCATTTTTATTAAGTGGGCTTTATGTATTGTCTTTATTTCAGTAGGAGTCAGAAGCTAATTATTTTGTTCTGTCTGCAAATCTTGGTATTCTTGAAACCTCAGACTATCCATAACCATGTCAGGGATTTGTGTTAGAAAATCAGTTGAAAGAAAAAGAGAACTTGTTAAGAATCTGATCAGTTAGGACATACATTTTCTGAATAACATGTCCTATGCACAAGAGCAAATTGCAGCTTACCTGTGTCAAAACCAAAGGTTGGCACAATGCCGACTGTTCCGTGAAAGGCTCCTGCCCATGCTGAGGTAGCACTAGTGACAGCAGTAGGATCTGACTTTGCTGCTTCACACTGTGGTGGAGGAATCTTGCCCGCACACACTGAAGGCATCAGCAGAGGTCTGTAGCGCGGGTCAAGGTGCGAAGTTGAGTGGTGGTGATGCATGTGCGCATGGGGATGGTGGTGATGCATGTACACATCATGCATGTGTCCATATGAAGGGCTCACCTGAGATGCTAATGGATAATGCCAAGATTCTGACATGCTAGGTGGTGGAGGAGGAGCAGTTTGATGCAATGTATGTCCAGGCCAGTTGCTAGGATCTCCTGTTGCAAAGGTGGCTGGTGCAGAAACTGGGAAATCAGGATGAACCCCACTTAAGCATGGTGGAGGTGGAGTTTGATATGAACTGGTCCAAAACGAAGCTGGGAATCCACTTCTTTGGTTTGCGATTGTTGCATTCTCTTTAAAAGAAAATAGTTAAAATGGATCTTAACTAATAAATAGTATTGCTAATATGAAAACAGGCTACATACATATCTATTTTTAAATGTTTATGAGAGCACAGTACAAAACACAGCAGACAATTACAAATGACAACATCTCTGGGAAAAAATGGACCCGCTTTCTGATCAACCACAGGAATGACCAGTTTGTTATGTTTATTATGTCCTTTCAGATAAGCTGGGGAGTTCAAAAGAATGTTAATAAAACACAAGTTATTTCATGTTAAGTATATTTGAAAAACTATCTTCTGTAGAACCAGGAAAACTCAAATACAAGTCACTGCATTATGAAATCATGTTAAATCCACCATTTTAAATCCACCTTTCTGAGAAGTGATTCATGTTTTTCCTATGTAATGGCAGCTGGCACTGATGCTAGTAGTTATCTTGCCAAGCTCTGATTTGAAGGAAAGGTCAAAACAAAAATGTGTTGGGAAAGAGGCAGATTTGCCTAAGAATATCTCTATAACTGTTGGTGAGAATATAACCAAAGACCTACCAAAAATTGAAAACATTTGGGCAAGTGTGGAGATGTGATTGTTCAAAAAGATGAATCCAGTGATCCTGTGTATTGAAAATAGAGATGAAAAATGCTTAAGTAGAATACCTAAGTGCCTGTGTCAAAGATATATTTAGAAATTAACAACTGACAGGCCTTTCATTTTACCACATTTACATTTGTAAAGTATGCAATCTTTTTAATATGGCTATCTTGACATTGCTTCTTGGTTGTATTTTCAATGGGTTATAGTCTGCATAACAACAGTGGGGAAAGTAGAGAGATGACATCATTCTGCTGGTGACTGCACAATTGCTAGCAAACACCTAGTGTAAAGAGGTCATAATGAGTTGTTAAAATGTTGAAACAGTTCATTCAATAGCTTGTGTAACCAAAATAAATGGTTGGTTCTGGCACTTGTGCAAATGAGAGAAATTTTATGCTATAGAATTACACTATTAGCTAGAACCCCATGTTTTCATGCTCTGAAAAAAGGTTATCTTCAGGTGAAATAGAAATATGTGCCTATATAATATTCTAGAAAAGACTTTGATCACATAATCACTGTGACTCTGCCTCATTCATGTAATTTTATGAGACTTCAGACAATTCCCACTGGCAACTGTCCCATGTATCCCCACCTTTCTTTTAGCTTTTTTCTTACCACAAAAAGTCCTTAAAGAGGGGAAACTGGACAGCTATACAGTGCATTTTGTTGAGCTGTGGCAGTATGGCAGGACTGGAGATTGATTGATTGATTGATTGATTGATTGATTTTTGTGCTTCAAGGATTGCATTCCCTTTGAGATAATTTGCCAAGAGCCATTGGTGTGGGACAGAGCCCCAGGTAACAGTGGATGGAATTACATGTCAACTGAGACAAACTAACCCCTTTATCCTTCTTCTACCCACTTTTTCCCCTGTCTCTCTCTATGGCTGGGTAAAATGTTTTCTGGATGAACCTGCTTCTCAAATCAGTAGGAAATTGGTATGCTGTCCCAGCCACTTTTCCTCCTATTTGTTTGAGAGGGCTGATTCTATTTTTTGCACTGGCTGAAACATCACCTGTTGCTCTGTTGATGTGTGGGAAAATCCAGTCAGTTACTGACAAACACTTTTACAGCTAACATGAATTAACAGAGAGCTGCTTCTAAAGTTTCCCCATAGCAGGCTTTCCCCCCTCGGCTCTCTCCATCCTTCCCATTTCCTCCATTCCTTCTTGCTTAGCTGTCTCATAATACCGAGTATAATGAGAAAGAATTATTCAGTAGTACAACCATAACAAGTAGTGCAGTACTGTCGAAAGGAAAGAACTACTAGCAATTCTTTTAAGGTAGGCAAATCAAACAGCAGAAAAGCAAAGAATATGGTTGAATCCATATTTTTCTGTTTGGGAACATCTGGAGACCTTGGATTGCCTTTCTGCAAAATTGGTATAAAGACCTTTCAGTGCAGAAAAAATAAGACAGTATTCCATGCTGAATGTGCATGGATCAGGTTGAGGCTGTGAGTTGAACTTGTGGAGCTGTGCAATTACATTCTGAAATATTTGTGAAATGTCATCATGTTTCCACACCCAACCCATAAATATTTCACCTCTTGCACAATTAAATTCTAGGAAACAACCCAGATGTCAGACAACCTGGTGCTCTCCAGATGTGCTGAACTATCTCTCCCATCTCACCCAGCCAACATGGCCATTAGTCCTGCTAACTGAGGATGATGAGGGTTGTGATCAAACAGATTTAGAGGACACCAGGTTGAGGACAACTTATAACAGATTATACTTTGTCAATGTTGGATGAAAGGCCACTTTTGACAACACTTCTCTAGTGAAATATCTCATTTTTACCATTACTTTTAATTCCTTAAAAGACATTTCCACCCTGCCTTGTGTGTAAAAATTTGATTCCCTTTTAGATGGCTAATTCTAACCCCATTCTATATCCATAATATGGTAGATAAACTATTAATGTGAGCACAGTCCATTCAGTCTTAACTATTTGAATATCCCTCAATGCCAGTAGGAAAGATGTAAGCACATTGACAGATGTGCGTTATCCCCCACTGAAATTAAAGAAATTTCAATGTCATTCTTTTAAATTCTGGATTGACTCCTTTTTCAAGGGAGAAAGTAAAAGGCATTAGTTTCTGAAATACAACTTTAACTAGATCATCCTGATAATGCCTGGTAACCAGACTAAATTAGCCATACTTTAGTTCCTTTGGAATCAGTGAGACTTGTCATTGTCATTACAATCTTGATTCATTAATTTCAAAAGGACTAAAACATGACAGTCTGCATCCAATCCATTCTTTACACTCATTTTGGTAGTATTCAGTTGGCTAGAGTAAGCCACTCTTCACTCTATTCACCAATGTTTATTATTTCTTTTTATACAAAGGAAAATGCATATTCCAGCATGATCAACAACTTTTTGTTGTTGTTGTTCATTGTGTTTCTCTCTCTCTCTCTCTCTTTTTGTGTGTGCGCAGGTAGTTATAATTTTCTGGTTCATTGCTCCATGTGGTGACCTCAAATGTCTGAAGGCACAAGGACTGATGTAGCAGTGCCCACTGGTATTGGCTGCATCACTGATAGGACAACAGACCCAGTCTCTTCAGTTCTTAAGCATTTTCAGTCCTTTGGGAACAACTGGACATTACCACTGGGGCTCTTTCTGTTGGGCTTCTCTACTGCCCTTAGGGAAGCACAGCTATACCGAAAGCTGTACGCAACACATTACAGGCAGCTTGGCTGTTGAAAGAGCACAGCATGACCCAAAATGGAGCATATTTTGCACCTCATCCTTTCAGCCCCAAAGGATATGATGGCTGTATTCACACAACAGAACAAGCAACATGCATAGTTACAATGGTTCATTTTTTACCATGATCTATCTGACAGACAAGTTTCTGTATTATCATGATTTCATCCTCTCCACTCTGTCCTCCCATTGCTGATATGTATTTCATCCGTCACTGTGCCTGAAATTCAATCCCAAGGTGCATCACTCCCTGCCTATGTAGCCTGCCTCTTCCTCATTGGTCCACCATAGCTGGAATAACTTCCGCAGAAATCCCCTTGGAAACCCCTCTTTCAAGAGGACTATGGAAACCACAATCCTGGGTTCAGATAACACATTAAACCATAGTGGTATAGAGAAACCATAAGATAAACTGTTGTTGCTTATCATGGTTTCTACAAACCAAACTTACCATGGTAAATTACCATGACTGAGTTTGGACAACACACCAGACTAACAATGGTAAAAACAAAAACAAAACCCACCATGGCTTGTCATGTTGCCTGAACCCAGGCAATCTGGGTCTTGGTGAAAACAGGATAAATCAGCTGATCTGGCCTTTCATTTATGCAGAGACCTGCAGATGCTTCCCAAGCGAGGTTTCTGTCTCTTCGGCCTATATAAGAAGGAGCCAGTGGCCAACTGGGCCACTACAGACCAACACAATACTCATCAGTTTTCATAGCTACAATTACAGAAACTATATCCTTAACAGCTGTTACCTACATCTATAACATCTATATAAGACATCTATCCCTGCACTGTTTTAATTTTTTCTGGGAAGTTAAATCCTGAGATAGGGGCACTGAATATTTTATGCATCCATAGTTCCTATTCTCTTAGATTTAAAACTGTTTTTAAAAAGTCAATATAGATGTCACCTGCAAAATCCACAATAACTGATGTCCCACAGTTCAGTTTTACTTTTTATATTTTTACTAATCAGTAGATGCACATGTCTGCTTTGATGATTTAGTAAGTAAAGATAGACAGTGTAGCAGGGGTGGGGGAATCGTGGCTTCATATTAGCTGAATTTAGGAAGTTGAAATGCCACAGGAGAAAAATTCCCCAACTCGTGTTCTCCAGATAAGCTGTATTAGAATTCCTATTATATCCAGTCAAGTGCAATGTTCTCTGGAGTGATGGGAATTGTATCCCAACTATTCAGAGGGCAGCAGGTTGGTGAAGGGCATCTTCCTGTATTTCACTTCCCCAAACTCCAAACAGATGCATGGGACAGCTAGTTAGGAAAAAGGAACTATGGGATGCCCTAATCTCCTGCTTCAGATCTAGTTCAATGTTGAAAATAACTTTTCCAAAGAAAGTCTAAATTTTGTGTGTGGTGACTGAAACTGTATTGGCAGCACTAGTTCAGTGTATCTGTGTTTGGGATGTTGGTCTAGAATCAGTTTAAAAAAATAATGTGATTTGAATGTGCCCTGTGATGCCTCCCCCCCCCCACAAAAAAATCATAGAATATGTATGACTACAAAACCAATTGTATAAGTTAAAATGTATCTCTGTGTGTGTGTGTATATATATCTTCTCAATCTTACCTCTCCACAGAGCGTTTAGTCCTGTCTTACTTTTTGAAATGGCAGTCTCCGGATTGAAGCTGCTAGCTTGGTTTAAAGCTCTTGAGAAATGTTCATCCACTACTGAGCCAATGTCTCCCTGAAAGTAAGTGAAAAGGACGCAGCGAGAGTTAAGGTACTCCATCTCAGTAGGCTGCTCTTTGTCATCTTCTTCTTGTTTATTAGGAAGGGTCACATCCAGAGATTCCTGCATCTTGCTGTATACAAATATCTTATTCTAGTATAAGGGGAGAAAAAAACAAAAAGAATAAAACACTAATTACAGAACATAGAAGGAAACATTCATTTAACAAGGTAACTGAGATCCATTATGTATTTGCTATAGTTTTACAAAAACCACTCTTCCATACTCATAGTGGAATACCTGCCCAAGCTCCAGCCATTCAGGTGTGCCTTGGCCATTTTGTATCTCCAATAAATTCCATTTAGGGATTGGCCAGCACTAGAGGCAGGGAAGAGAATGAACACTTTCTGGTTGATCCAGAAATGCTAGAAACCTTCACCTGTGTTTTTCTTAAACAACACTATGTTCTTTTTCCTGCTTCTCTACAGGGGTTAGGATCCAGGGCCACTGGATGACAGAGAAGCAAAAGAAAATTAAGTTCCCATCTCATTCCAAAGAGTATAGGGATGGGTAGGTCTTGAGCAGGAAGAGAAGCAGAAACACAATGGAGGCAAATCCATTGTGAAGGTACGTGGCACCATCCTAAACTGTGAACTAAGAGGATCAAGTGACTCAAGCTCAAGTTATCACAGTACAGCCCCATGCACACCTATCTGGCAACATGCCCCACTGGAGACAGAGGGCTACACTTTAGATCACCTATTAGCCTATTATACAGCTTAGATTGTCCAGTGGATTATGACTCTTCTACAAGCTTCAGATTTAAACTCTGGTGTTTGAGCAGTATTTGCTACAGCATAGTTGGTTCCATGCCTTCTCCACTGATGTGCAGGCATTGTAGTTTTGTGGTGCTCAGTATTATTTGTGGAGAAAGGCACTGTTCCACAGAGATGTGGGTGGCAAAATAAAGCTCTTTGCAAGAAAAAATAATTTCCAGCATAAAGCACTGCCAAAGATGCAAAACAAATCTGTGTTCTTCCCTCATTCAAGCAAATGTTGCATTTTTTTACATAACACCAATCTATAAAAACATTACATATAAAAGATGGTTAAATGTGATGAGATTGGTGTGAAATAAACAAATCCTTTTGATATTCACGACAAAAAGGAACAATAATTTAAGAGCAATGTTGGATGAAAGCCTCTGGGTATCTATTTCCAATTTCTCTTTCCAATGAAACCAACATGTCAAAATAAACAAGTGCAAAGACAAATTTTACGTGGAATATTTTCTTCCAATGTTCCACGTTTCAAGCATTTTCCAAATGGCTTGGTTGCTTTGCCACTAGGCACAACTTTGTACATGAAGGGAATGAGTGTAATTGTTCGGCACAAGGCTGGGGGCCACGCAGCCTAGGAAGCGCCAGCATTCCTCTGAAGGCAGGAGTGAAACAATATGTAGCTTTCCTGATGGTTTGGCCTACAACTCCCATCATCCCTCACCCCAGACTATACTGACTAGAATTTCAGTGGAAATTTCCTATGGAAATTATAGGGTGAAATATCTGGAGAGCCACAAGTTGCTCACCTCTTCTTTAAGAGTCTCTGGGGCTTTGGCCTCATGAGCCAGTCGACCAAGGAGCTGTCAGGCAGCTGTACTTCCATACTGAATAAATTACTTAGAGCAGCTGTTGTCTTCTTCTGTATAGGAAACTACAATTTCCCGAACATTCCCACAGTATTCCACAGCAATTTCCCCAGTACTAGTGAATGGAATTTGTCAGAAACATCCCTGCTTGTGTTACACCAAATTCAAATAAAATCTAACACATTGTGGCCAGTTCTACATTTGTTTTCCATCCTTTTCCTTCCCTTCTGCAAGTAGAAAAGATGTTTGCTACAAAATACTTGCCACAAACCAGCTATTAAAGCTACTGTACGAACACCACCAACACTGCAGACAGAACTGTATGAGCTAAACATGCAAAACTACATTGCTTGTTTTTAGACACAACTTCACATGATTTCATGTAAGAGGTAATTCTTTTAATATAGCAATGCTAATAATTTTATTTATGCAATTGTAAAATAATTCAGAATGAGATGTAATATATCTAGAAGGACATGCCAAGTGTCACTATAACCTTAGCCCTCAACCTGATTTAGGTTATCCAACTTGTAACACAGGCCAGGCAGGTATCCCTTCAACTATTACAAGAAAACTGCAAAGAGAAGCTAATAGGCAAAATCCCAAGCAATGTTAATTCCTTTTTCTAACTGGATGATACTTTAAAGAAAGATAATAATTTTACAAGACAGGAAAGTAGCGAACAAAAACATGGCCTTTCCTTGGTGTGCCTTAAGGTAAGAGCTTCTTTTGTTTTGTAATGGTACTGTATAAGGCATACCTTTAGGTATACCTTGTTATAAAACAAATGCATCTGAGCCTGTGTCAGCAAATGCAAGAGGGAAAGAGACTGGCCCAGTGTCTGATGGCACAACAGCCATCCATCCATTTCACAAAAGATGCCTACCACTTACAAAATTTACCACATTTTAAACATATCACAGTGTCCCACATTATGCATGTTCAGAGATTAGAAATATCTCACCATTCCTGATATAGTTGTAACTATGCCACGCCAGAACAATTGCTCAAATGCTGTGGGTTTTAAAGGCAAATGCGATGACCGAGTGTCCATTCTCTGTAAAGAGTCCTACAACAAGCAGGATTCTTATTCATGCCAATGAGGCTTACAGAAGTAACTTCAATGCACATAGATTGATTGGGGTGGGGGGTAAAGGGCTGGAACTATAATCCCCCTTTCCCACCTGCATATTCTATGCATTTGCAAAGCCTGGAGAAGCCTAGATGTACATTTGAAGGTGTATGGGAGATTCTAAATACAAGTCACTTTCTTTGAGCAGCAAGTGGATATTCAAAGTACCTTCAGTAGGCCTAGAATGTATATTTTAACCACTGTTCCTTCTCACAAAAGCAAAGTAATGTATTTCTCCTGGATAGTTAGATATCATATTTCTAGGAATTAGCATTTGATTTTAAAAAAAGGCTGCTTCCCACATAGCATTCTATGTTGACATGATTCAGAAGTTTAAAGAACACAAAGCAGTAGGTGGAAAATGGCATTCTAGTGTTCACTGCCATTATCTCAGTGATTTTTTAAAAATTGTATGTGTGTTTGTTTTCGAGAGTTAAGCGTTTTCATTTGCTGTATTAAAATTTAATTTTATTGAGATCAGCTTGACTCTTCAGCTTATTGAGAGCATTTTCAATGGTGAAAGAGGAAAATTCACAGGTGAAGGGTAGGGCCAGGGGGCAATGTGGAACCAAGTTGCTGGGATCCAGATGCTGTTGCCTGGAAGTCTGTTAGTGTTTGTATATAGAGAGTGGAATTCAGGAAATTAAAAGTTGTATCCAGAGCTGCTGCTCTGTGCAGGAATGCTCTTCTTTTCATGGTAAGCCTCTGTCAGCATTTGCATTTCAACCCTTTCTCATCCTAAGTGTTATTGCTGCAAGCTAGTTCAGATAATTTTACAAAACAAAACTGAACCTTTGATTTAAAAAAAACAAACACACACACACAAATGTTAGGACTAATGAGGGGCAGGTATATACTTTGACTATAGTTCCCCTTGAGAAAAAAAATGAAATCAATTATGTATTACTGTATTTGATGCAATGTCTGTGAATGTTCTTATATTTAATAGCTATTCAAAACCTACTGGGATACAGACAAAGTTAAAACTGTAAGCAATTAGAGCATTTGGACAATTTCTAACACAAGGTATATTTATTTGAATAACACTGTGATATACATGTAATATACATTTTCAACCAACTGAAACCAAATAAGTCTTCCTGCTAAAATGTCCTCAGTCTGTGAAACAATTACTAAACTTTTGCCTTCAGCCTTAAAATAATTACAAAACTGGATTTCTATTGGTAGCATTCAAAAGACACAGGGAAATCCTAGTCATAGAATGCACAAAACAAACTCTACTTACATCTTCTAAATCAAGTATTCCCTTCAGTGGCACAACATTCTTCCAAAGCTCTCAAACACATGCTCAGGCATCTCAATTCACTTCAATGAATGAACTGCCTAAACAGAATGTGAGGCTTTTGCATATATAGGAGTTCTGAGACTGCACAAAATCAGAAGATGGCTATTGCAGCCTACCTGCTTTGCCATTATTGAGACCTGACCCTTTGGCAGTGAAGTGGAAACAATATTGCAAAGTCAACAGTGCTGCAACCAGAAGTATCCATTGGTGAGGCCTGCACTATAAAAGTAGCCTGAAAAGTATCTTAGGCTGCAAGGAGGAGTAAAGAAGTAAGCTTGCAGGGATGGCACAGAGCAAAACTAGGGAATAGTGGATACTCTAAAAGCCTTTCAACCACAACTTATCGCTCACAGCAATACAGCTCTTATGTCTGACATACACTGCAACATAAAGTACAGTGAGAATGCAACGTGCAGGCTGCAGAAATATACATATTTACACCCTACACAACCATAGCAGTTACACCCAGTACAAGATATTCTGTGCATGAACACATATGAACACATCAGCAGGATTATGGCAACACTTAACAGATGAAACCCTTTAAAAATGGGGAGATGCCTTATTTCCATTCCCCCCACCCCCTTGGTCCAGTACCATCTACAAAACAAGCAGAGGATTTTCCTGCAACCTGCTACCTGATCCCTTTAAGCCAAGATGCCAGGGAGTAATTCTGGGATCTTCTATGTACAAACCATATGGTCCATCGCTGAGCTGTGCCCCCTCTTCATATTCTGAAATGATATTGCTGAACTCTCCAAAGGAGATTCCCATGCCTTACTAAGTGATTTCCCATGCCTTACTAAGGCATTTCCAGTGCTTAGGGTTAGCTTGACTTTCAACCACACTGAGCTGAAAACAAGAACAAAGATTTAGGAAGAACTGGTTAGTGTTGGACAAATTTCATGCCTAATGCAAATTCTTTGAAAAGGTTTATTCCTCTCTGCAGTAGCATTCATACAGTCCCTTTCTATTTCCACCGTTTAAGTATCAGTGTGGTCTGGAAACCTTACACAGCTAATAGAATTTGCTGGCAAGTAAGTGTGGGAAACAAGAGATATGTAGAT